CACACACACACACACACACACACACACACACACACACACACACACACACACACACCAGGAGTGAAAAGATTCATAGGCTCCACAATTCAGTTTGATTTTGTTTTCAGAGTCACAGTTTTTTTGTTTGTTGTTTTTTTAATGTCTGCTTTTATTCTTTGTTGTAAACGCTACACAAAATTCTATACACCTGTAATAGATGTATGGTATTTCACACCATTTACACAAACCTTCGTTTTCTGCCTTCATGTATGATTGTCTTGTTTTAGCCCTCCAACATCTAACGTAGAAATCGTTATTATGAATTATGGCTAAGGAGAACATTGTTTTTCTAAGTAGCGTTTAAAGTGGACTTTGTTATTTCGAGTAACATCCAAGCCTTGATGAGATTACTTCTAGTAAAATGTGCAACGTTGGAAAAACCTGCGATATCCATTGTTGTTTAATTTAGGATAATGTTATCAACAATAAATTTGCAATCTATTGTGCAGCCATGTTTGATATTTCTCTACCTTCTTACAAAGCAAAGATATTTTGGAGGTTTTCTGAACTAAAGTTTGAACTCCTGAAGCAGTCAATATTATTCACCTTTGGCACATTGTTTGATGTATTCCATATACATGAGTTGACTGGTTACTGTTCCACTGTGGAACCAGCATCCTTAGCCACTCACTGTTATGATCTTGCTGAGGGGGTTCAGGCCCAAGCAGAATTGGCTTTGATTTGGAAAGAGCCATCTTCCACGTTCTCACTGAGGTCTCRGTGAAGGCTCTAGTGTTCTGTTGATGTACAGTTTCAAGCACTCCAGTATCCATATTCATAGCATTCAATTCAATTCAGTTCAAAAACACTTTATTGATCCCAAAGTGAAATTTGATAAGATTGAGTCTGGGCTGTCCTGCTATCAGTTCAGGTGGTGCACATGTTTGTGTGTCTGCCTTTTGTTCTGTCGACCAGTAGCTGGTGCCTGGCCTCCGTGGTGTTGGTGACGAGTCCCCTCTGTGCCTCGCTCAGGTTTTGCCCCCCCTGTGCTTGTTATCTTAGCCACTATGTAGCCTGATAGGAGCTTCCATGTCGCTGAGGCAGGTGGTTGTCCAGTAGCTGGATGGGATTGACACTTTTTAGGGTTCCTTCATTATCAGGACTGTACAGCCTTGGGTCAACCATTCTGGGTGGGTTTCTTTTGTTAGCAGCTGGTTCATAGGTGCTGCTAGGCATTCACATAGAGATCTAAATATAACAGTCTGTGAAACAGCTGTGTTCAGATCTTAGACCCTGCAGCCATGGAGCATTGGGGTTGTTTGATGACTCTGTCTCCTATATTATTCTCCAGTAATGCTCAATCTCAGGTCTAGTAGGTCTGCTTTCAATGTTTTTGACAATACACTTTGAGTGGTGTGATGTTTTTTATTAGTCAAGTAGCAGAAGCATTGAGCTCTTAGTCAGTCTCATTAAGATTAACGAGATGTCCTCCCATGTCTTGTTTTCACTGTCAGGTGATTCAGTTTCAAAAGAGACATTTACAGTATTTCTTTTCATTGGAGCTTAAAATGATAAAATAAAAATTAACATTTAGGTAGCGACAATCATAGATTTTGGCAAAAGCCCTTTTCTATTAAATAAATAGAATAATGTGTATATAGAAATAAATATATTATGTCATATGGTGCCAAAGACCCTGAAGGCTTTGGCACCGTGTGATGTGCAAAAACAACATTGTATTGTTGGGTTTTCTTGTTTGTTTTTGGTAATACCAACCATGTTAATTCACTTTGCTTGAATGACTGAAAACGCTAATATCTGAAGGCTGAAAACTCCTCAGGTTCGCGGCACACTTTTTTATTATTCATCATTTTGTTTTTTAAACMCTTATATCTGCTCTGCTCTCTCTCAGGCTGTGATTGGATCTTGCTGAGTCCCTGTTATGTGCAGACAGACGGCGATGTGGCAGGATGGAAAGAGCTGTTAAGCAGACTGGGAGTCAGGGATGGTCTCGTCGTTCGCAAAGAAAAACGAACGCTCACTTCTGAAGAACTGGTGAGGGAGAAAACATGCAAACGATTAGAACAGAGAAGACTGCCCGAAAAGTAGGCACACAATATTCACAGGTTGCATGGACACCCAGAGGCAGAACAGAAGCTTTGTCTGAATCTGTGAGTCATTGTGACAAATATAAAAGTGATTAAAGGCTGAACGTGTGGGGGGTTTATTCGTCACACCAGGAATGGCGAGATCAATCGCTGCTTTGAGATGAAAAAAAAGCCGGTGACTAATGGGATGTTTCTCAGACAGGGCTGACACTTTGCACATCACACGTTCTTGTTACTTGTTTTAACCTGAGCTTCAAATACAGGAGATTAATGATGAGACCATTTATCACTGTGTGACTAATGCAGTGCAGGCTGCACTGATAGAACAGTACAGACCTCATCACAAACCTCATTTTCTATATTTTAAGTCCTTATAACTCTGGTGAGAACCGTTTTTCTTGAGTTGCAGGTGGAGGAAATCAGAGTTTGTTGCCTGTTTTTTATTTTTTYCCCTTTTATAGGCTTATGACTACAATGGAAAAGGAAAACTGTTTTGAACAAAATTGCAAAAAAATAGCTAGAAAACTCTGTAGACCACTCCAATCTTAGATAAAATGAAACACTTAATGAGATGTCATCATAAGCAGTGAAGCTCATTCGTTTCCCCTGCTCCTCTGGTAGGCCTCCAGTCCCTGGTCAGCTGAAAGTGCAGCGTGGCACCGACATCCCGGGGGGGACTATGTTCTGAACGACTACCCCTGCGAGGAGTTTCACAGCCTGGCCACAGCTCAGCTGCCAGGCTCACTCCTCCTGCAGCAAAGGCTGGCTTTGCTRGAGCTGCTGGAGACAAACTGGGACTCTGGGTAACATGCAATGATTATCCCATTTTAAAAACAAACAGTTTAAAAGGATTTTTGTTGTTTAATGGCTACAGATAATAGCTAGGGACTTGGATTAAACTGGTAATAATCCCTGTTATTTTTGCTGAGGCTACTAGGGAATATTAAGACTAAGTGGGGGCAGCGTTGGGCAGTAAAGCTTTTCTTTTTCCCTTGGAGAAAAATAGTGATGCTCAAGTCTTTATGTACAACATTGCAAACAATTGATTGTAATAGAAAAGCATGAGTACAAGTCATAATTTTAGTATAAACTAATCCTTTTCTAACACTTGTGTCCAGTTTTGGTGAGCTGTTGGTAGCACATAGTACTCTATTTTTATTTTTTTACACATTTTTAAATTTTTATTTAATTTATCTTTTTTTATTCTTCTCACCCTCCCCTATTTAAAGCTGCAGTAATGTGCAAATTTCCCAACTGTGGGATCAATGAAATCTTATCTTATCTTATCTTATCTTATCTTATCTTATCTTATCTTATCTTATCTGATCTGATCTGATCTGATCTGATCTTACTCATCAACAGGAGTCTTTTCATGTGTAGGTGTGGCTCCAGTCAAAACATTTTTAGTAAACTTAAGACAGCTCTGTCCACTGATTGGTTTAGGTGGGTGGGTCAGAACTATGAGTCTGTGCCGGTTTTGCTTTTTCGGTGCAGCTAAAGGAAAAGGAACACAGGTAGAAAAGGACAGATATGTKTGCAATGGAGTGGAGCAAACTTATCCTTATTGTTTGAAATGTTGGGAAAAGTTAAACTGTAGATTTACTTATTTTACTTATTGTAATATCAGTTTAGTTTCACCAAAAATTCAAACTGTCTTTATTAAATCTAACTTAAGTAGCAGCACTTTTTTTCTGTCTGTAGAACAGCACTGTTTTGTGTCTAAAGTATTTATTAAAAAATTAAAGATACAGAGCTGATAAAGTGCCAGAATGCAAGATTGCATGCATCAATAAATGGATTTTTTCTAAGCTTGTAGCATGTCATAGCATCATGGTGCTATGACCCTGTTTTTTTAATTTTTGTTTTTTTTCTAAATTTTGAAATGCATCCTAAAAACAACATTACTTGTAAAGGTTTGCAAATTAAAAAGCAAATACAACTACAAGACAGTACTTTATTTCTGTGTAGGTCATAGAGTTAAATATCACTAGACTGAGCCCTGCCTATCCCCTCCTTTATTAGCATCTGTGACAAACTGGAGCAAAAATGGCAACCAAACAGTATGATATATAAAGAAAGTATATAATCTATAACTAACAATGATCCAAACCAAACCTGAAGTCAGTCAGTAACTTAAACAAAACAGCTAGTTGAAAAAAATGACTACAACTAGAAATAAAGTATATTTATTATTTCTTATCTGTCAATAATAATAATAATAATAATAATAATAAATGTTTACCAGGTGACACAGAAAAATGTTCACTGAATACCTGATGACACTTTAGGGTGAAACTTGTCTTAGATGATTATCTTCTCAACAGTTCAAGTTTGTCTAATTAAAACCTAAAAATAGTCAAATACATAATATTATTGTAAACTGTGTACATATTACATACATCAGAAATAAAACTATCTTGTAATATTTAATAATTGGTACTAAATTGTAGCATGATTCAGTGGAATTCTACACGCTATGACAATATTATGCTACAGAAGCAACCAATTCAATAATTAATAATGATTACATCGGCTCTATAAGCTAATTTTAGTTTTAAACTTTTACTCACTCACTCACTCACTTAAACGTTAGTTTTAGTTCTGGTCAGATCATATCCACATTGATGTAAATAAAAAACAAAAAATGTCTTTAATAGTGAAATGAGACATTTTCCTGTTTTTTTATGTTGGTACATCCATAACACAGCTTTCTGACATTTTTATATACATTAAATAGCTTATATACATTCTAAAATATTAATAAAATTTCATTAATATCATTTTTTTTACAATTTTTACAGAACCAGCTCTTATTAGTCAGTATTTTGCCAATATGTACAGTAATGCTAAGTCCAGACMCTTGCCCGGTCTGGTTAGTGCCATCGCTGCTACGTTAGATCACACGGTCACGTGACCAAGAAACACAACTCTATAGTATAGACATAGAATTCTTAAAATGAAAGAAAGAGCTCTGCTTTTACGTGATTTTGTAATGAATAAAAAATGCCTGTATTGTTTGCTTTTTCTGACTATTCTCTTCCATCTGTCCATCCAGACATTGCTACTCTCAGTACCTCACAGCCCAGGTGCTTGACAATGATGAGCTGCCGGTAAAAAACACCAAGTCCTCCTTCTACCACTTCCTGTGCCATCTTGAATGGGTGCCAGCTTACCGACCTACAGAGGGAGAAYGGCAAGAGCGAAAATTCCTTTGTCCAAGTTCAGCCTATCTGGCATCACCCGAAGTCACCAGCGTACTCGGGTCTCATGTCTTTTACGTAGACCTGAACTCCAGCACGTTCAGCAGAAAGCTAGGTAAACAAGATCTGGTAAAATATCACATCTGCTGTTTTTTAGCTGCTGCATGTGGATCAGTCTGCTTCAAACATTCCATCTGTTTCAGAGATGAGAGAAACTATCTCAGTAGAGGTTCTGATTCAGTACCTGAAGAAATGGTGTGTCAAACCAGAGGAGGATGACCAGGAGAGACCACCTGCAGACCAAACCGTGGGAGCCAATTTCACCTCAACTGTTCAGCACATCCACAATGTCTACAACTATCTGCAGGCCAACTGTTCCCAGAGCAGCTTGAAAGAGCTGTTCCAGCACACCCCTGCTGTCTTCGTGGAGAGTAACAGGTATGTTTTGTCCTGTAGCTTCAAACTTCTTAAGATTAACATAAAAAACTTCAACTCAGGTGGTTTAATGAGACGTTGCCTCTGCAGGCTAAATGATAAGTGGTGTTCGGGACACTTCTACCATCTGAAGGAAGTGTGCTGGAGTGACAACACGGCCATGTTTCAGCGTTACAGACAGCTGACTCACAGAGCTGACAGACCAATTCAAGATCCCAGAGTCCTGGCTCCTTTCTACAGCCAGCTRGATGGCATGAGAGATTTCTTCACTAGAGTAAGTTTCTCTCTTAAGGCCATTTGTTCTGCACAGAAAGGATTTCTGATGACTGTTACTAAGACTCACAGATTGATTTCCCTCTTCAGTTAAACAATTTTCAAACAGAACAAGTGTCTGACACAAAGGAGAAAACAGATCGATCTACTTGAACACCAAACTATAACCCTCTATATATAGGGTTACAGTTTGGTGTTCCTTTGATGTATCAAACCCACGAAACTCACACTGAAGCCTGATCATCCTCAGGTGGGCTTTCTTTGGGACAGGGGCTCGAGAATGAAAAGATACTCATTAAATAATCATATCTTTAAAATGTGAACTTGACTGACATGCACCAACCTGTGTCTTCCTCTTGACCCCCTACTTAAAGCAACTTGTCATTGGACACAGGATGAATTCTGGCCAACACACCCAACTCTAGGTGAAGGTTGTGGTTTAAGACATTATGGCTCCATGAACAGCACCACATACACTGCATTCTTGGTTTTTCCTCTGCCTCACAGCAACTGAAAAACATTATGTAACTTGAATCAGATTTCTCATTCAAGTTACATAGAGACTAGCATCTAGGTCACTGGTCCATTGTCGTCCACTCAAGTTTCCACAGAAGTTCAAGAAGTTTCCATCCATCCACCCATCCATCCATTAATTATGTCCCGCTTGTTCCAGAGTCAGGTTTTAGGGGCAGCAGCTTCAGCAAGGAGGCCCAGACCCCTCTTTTCAGCCACCTCTCTCCCCTCTTCTGAGAGGATTCCAAGGCGTTCCCAGGACAGCTGAGAAACATAGTTTCTCCAGCATGTCCTTGGTTTTCCACATGGTCTTCTCCCAGTAGAACATGCCCAAAGCACCTCCATAAAGAGGTGTCCAGAAGGCATCCTTACCAGATTTCTGAACTACCTCAACTGGTTCCTCTTGATGTGGAGTATCAGCAGCTTTACTCTGAGTCTCTCCTGGATAACTGAACTTTTCACCCTATCTCTAAGGGAGAGTCTCGCTACCCTGTGGTAAAAACTCATTTAGTTGGTAAGCCAGAGTCAGAGCGCCAAGGCCTCCACCTTTGGCTGCCACCCACGTCTCCATGCACCTGACTCGTGTGACCCCTCCTGCAGGCGGTGGACCCGCAGGAAGGCAAACCCTTGTAGCTCATTCCATCATCCGTACAAATGTTTTGAAACACTGTCTGGCATGTCACCTAGGACCAACTGCCTTGAGAGATCCTACCAGGGGCAACTTCTATTGCTCCTGACAGCAAAGCTCCTGGGATCATTCAGTCACACAGACTCCTCCACTACTATGAAGTGACAATTCAAGAGACAAGAAGTTTCCATTTGGAGCCAAGTTCATATTGTTCCTTGATCTACTAAGAATTTTTTTTAACTTGACATCACACATCAGCTTATGTTGATTAAGTAGTTTATTTAACTTATAAATAGTAACTACATATTTCATTCTGAGTACCACTTGTAAAATCTTAAGTACGACCAGAGGTACTTGTACCATAATTTAAGAATAATCCATGTACATGAGTCTGTGATTTTACCTTCTCTGTATAGCTGCTGAATGTGGATCAGAGCCCCACAATGAACCAGTACGTCATTCTGTTGGAGCTGATCTGTTCTTCAGCACCCGTGCCAACTGCTGAAGTGCTACAGGATGTGTCCGTACTCTATGCCAAACTCGGTCAGTACATTTAGATCAGCAGATTTGTTTCAGTGACTTTCTCTTGTGTCTCGTGTTCCTCCTGTTACTCTGTCCCATCTGTCTGCAGCTCGTTATGTCTTCGCTCAACAGCTCTTGTCTTTCTCTGCCTGAGATCACTTGCTTAGTTCATCTTTATTTCTCTCACTGAAGAGATTTCATTTGACACTTTGATGTCTGAAATATCTTTCTAACACCACGTTCCCAACAGTCCCACTGTGACCTATTCAGAGCATTACTCTTTTCCAGTTTATTTGACAGTGATTTCAAGTACAAGGACCAGTGAAAATCCCCAAAGCAAAAAAACATTGGAAGGAGCACAGAAAAAATATATTTCAAAAATCTGTTTCAGTTGAGCAAATCTAAACAATACATTAAAAAACACAATAAGGCTGTACTTCCTGTAACAAGCTACCAGTGTTGTGATGTCAGAATAGATAATGAGATAATGTCATGTAATCTAACTTAAGTCTTTCTAATTTACCAGCTCAAAAGTGTAAACCCCTTATGCCTGGAGACCTGGATGGTGCTCCTCAGTACAAACTGAATCCCAGCTACTGCTCCAGTTTGAAAGGTAAGGTGTTTTTAATCAGACACTCTAACATTGTCTACTTTCTGTCAGTAAGCAACGAGTTTTAAATACAGCTGGGGAGGACTTGTTCCTGCAGCCTAAAAATACACATTACACTGGAGACTGAAAGCAGGGAGTTGTACCGTGTGCGCTGCAGAACATGGTCATCAGTGCTAGCTAATAGAATCAGGAGGAGTAGAAAACATGTGAAGGATTTATTATTTGATGTMCACTACCGTTACATCAGTAAGTAGTTCTAGGTGAGAACAAGGGTGTTGCAGCTGGTGCAGCTGTTGCCTCTCAGCAGGAGGGTTCCCAGGTCGAATCTCAGAGTCCTTTCTGGGTGGAGTTTGTATTTTTTCTTTCTGTACACATGTTTTTTTTCCCGAGTACTCTAGTTTCCTCCCAGAGACCAAAAACATGAAGGTTAGGCAAACTAGTAACTCTAAAGAGTCCCTGGATGTGTTAGGTTGTTTGACTCGTTCGTTTCTATGTGGATGGATTTGCGACCTGTCCAGGTTGTAGCCCGTCCTTTGCACAGTTACTACTGGATATGGGCACCAGTGACCCCATGACCCTGAAAGGAAGAAGCGGGCAAAGTTAATGGATAGATGGGTATTTGTAGCATGTCAGTGTTGAGGAAAGTTTATCTGCACAATAGGTTGATTTGGTGTCTTCCAGAGATTTAAGACTGGAACAGAGGTTCACCKTCCATCAATGACCCTTAACACATCACTGAAGCAACACTCCAGTCATTTAGAAYGAACCAGTTAAAAGTCCTGGGATGGTCCAGTCAAAACCAAGACCTTAGTCCAACTGAGAATCTCTGGTTTGATTTAAAGACTTTTGAACACAAGCAGCACCATCCAACTTAAAGGACCTGGAGCTGTTTAGTCATGAAAAATTGATAAAAAATTCCACTGATAAATGTAATGTGAAGGACTTGTGACCTGTCCAGGGTGTACCCTGCCCCTCGCACTGTGACTGCTGGATATGGGCACCAGTGACCCCTGTGACCCTGAAAGGAA